TCCCAACCTTTCCTTTTTTACAATGGTGAAACAGGTAATTAAATTTTGTACAGTAAAATGTCAATTGAACATTTATTGCCAAATAACACCTCCAGCACAGCAGGACATTATGATAAGATATCAGGAGACAGCCAACTTTACCTCGGTTCTACTGAACAAGCAATTCATTAATTGCTTCTAGGCAATGCCAGAGCAAACTAATCAGGCAGTGGCCCAGGCAGTAACTCAATGAAAGAATTGCAGCAGTCTTCTCTGTACCCTCACTCAATTCTGTTCAGATTTAATAACTGTGAATATTGAACATAACTCCACGTTCAGGAGCAATCTCCAAACTGAGATGTGCTTAACACTGTATATTAAAAAAAAAAAAAAAAAAAAACAACTCTCCAACTTTAGATGCCTAGATAGAGCTAAGAGGCAGGATCTCAGGACCAGTAAATGAGCCATTGGTTACAAGAAGTGGGGAGACAATCATTGTATTGGACTTTAAATTGAAATCTAAGGTAATAAATCACTAAACTTTATTATAGTGAAACCTGTCAGTTTTGCAAAATCTTATATTTTGAAAAGTGTTTTAATAATGTAAAAAAGGTTTATTTGTAGTTCGTTAACTCTTATTCACCTCTGCATCCTGGTTCATCTCTGTATTCCAGTTTCTGCAATAGGAAACAACAGACAGGGTTTATTGTAATTAATAATTATGCTAAACTGACAATAACTATTAGGGCCAAATGGTCAACTTCTGTAACAGCAACATTCAGTTTTACGTATTGTCATGTGTATTGTGTATTTCAGCTAACTTTTGATGGCAACAAAATCATGGTATGACAAACTACTGGAATAGTCCCTTGGATTTAAAATTGGGTTTCATTTGTAGTTTTATCTGTAACATCTTTTGTGAATGTAAGAGAGATATATAATCTAGCTTATTTTAAACAGTGTCATTTAAACTCATTTTATTAATAATCAATCTAGCATTACTTTGAGAAAAGTAGGATTGTACACAGTGAGTAGAAAAGAAGCATTATTTATATTATCATTATCACTCCAGAAAGAAAGCAAGTTAATTTTGAAAATAATACAATCTGTCAAGACAAAACAACGAATTACTTTAGTGTGTGTAGTTTCCAAATATTTCTTAATTTGTATTTCTAAACTTATGAAAGTGTGTAGCTATTATAGTCAAGAATATTGTGTTTTTTCTTAACCATACATCTTCATATTCAAAAGTTTAAAATACCTTTGAAAGATAATACCTGCTTTATTAATTCTTATGATGACCTTTTTAAAGAGCCTTTAATTTTTTTAAATTTTTACTTCTTTTCTTTTGACTTTTATTTTAGGTTCAGGTGGTATACATGTGTAAGTTTGTTACATGGGTAAATTGCATGTTGCTGAGGTTTGGTGTAAATGATTCTGTCACTTGGCTAGTGAGGATAGTACCCAATAGTTAGTTTTTCAACCCAAGTCCCCTACCCCAACCTTCCCCCTCAAGTAGTTCCCAGTGTCTATTGTTCTTTTCTTTGTGTTCATATGTATTCAGTGTTTAGCTACCACTTATAAGTGAGAACATGTGGTATTTGGTTTTCTGTTCCTACATTAGTTCACTTAGGACAATGGCCTCCAGCTGTGTCCATGTTGCTGCAAAGGACATAATTTTGTTCCTTCTTATGGCTGTGTAGTATTCCATGGTGTACATGTTCCACATTTTCTTTGTCCAGTCCACCATTTGTGGGCAACTAAGTTGATTCCATGTTTTTTCTATGGTAAAGAGTGCTGTGATGAACATACAAGTGCATGTGTCTTTTTGGTAGAATGCTGTGTTTTCTTTTGGATACATACCAAGTAATGGGATTGCTGAGTCAAATGGTAGTTCTGTTTTAGTCTCTTTGACGAATCTCCACACTGCTTTTCACAGTGACTGAGCTAATTTACATTACCACCAGCAATATATAAGTGCTCCATTTTCTCCACAACCTCACCAACATTTGTTGTTTTCTGACTTCTTAATAATAGCCATTCTGGTATGAGATGGTATCTCATTGTGATTTTGATTTATATTTTTCTAATGCTTAGTAATGGTGAGCATTTTAAAATATATTTGTTGGCTGCATGCATGTCTTTGAAAAGCCCTTTAAAAGATTCCAAGTATGTACTGGACACAGACTAAGCCCAGGCAATATGTACAAGCAGGCAAACTTGTATTATTTGCATGGTACAAATCACAGAAATAGATTATGATGCTACTGAGTATTTAGAAAACAGAGATACTCAAATTCAGAACACCTTCTCTGTGAGACATTCTCTGATGTGAGGGAGATGGATGCACAAATAAGGCAAAAAGAGACCGAAGAACACTTTAGTGTTAGCTGGTACCGAAAATACAATGTAGAACTCTAGAAAGCTAGACCTGACCATGTTGTAGGCACTTTTCCCCAAGGCCCAAATGACTTTAAACCAAAGCAAGCCAAATAGTCTGTATACTTAAAGCCCACACCCTACTCCCAGATCGGACAGTTGATGATGAGGGTGGTCTAATCAGGGACACACCCACATGGCCAGATAATAAGGAATCAGGGACATGGTCAGCAGGGGGAGAATGTGTTTCCTCTGTAAGCCTCCCTTGGCTTAGGCTAGGTTAAAGCTTGGCTCAGAAAAAGGGCAATGGTGTCAGAAGAGCGATGGCCCTGCTCTCCTACAGGTCAGCCCTGATTGTTGGGTTGGGGAGGAGAGAGAGCAGGTGATGCTATATGCACTCTGACCTCCCTCTCCTTTGCAAGCTTCATCCCCATATATTACAGCTTGTCAGTGTTCTTAAACTTGCAGTTTCTTAATCATTGGTGATAACTAATTTTTGGAAGTGGGGATAGGGATGGAGATGAGGGAATGGAGCCTCGTGCTTCCCCTAGAGGCATATATAAAAGATGCAAAGTCATCTTCAGCATTTAGTGAACTCCAGGTTTGAAATATTTTGGAATTATTGATTTCATACCATAATTAAATATTATATATTTAAAAATATTATTAATAGTAAGTAGCTTTATTTTTATGTTTAACCTAATATGTAAAACACCTAGTAACATCTCGAACTGGTTTTCCTATTGATCAATTTTCTTTATAGTAGTAGCAAATACTGATAGGATTTGTATGATGAGTCTGGCATTGTTTTGAGCATTCATGTGTATCAAATAATTTAATTCTCACAATAATCTTATGAGTATTATTATTATTTCAATTTTTACAGATGGAGGGATGTTAAGTGACTTGCCTGAGGTCACATAGCTAATAAATAGCAGAGCCAAGAAGTGTGTCCAAATTATCTAGCTCCAGAGGTTGCTTTTAATCTTTATGCTATATATTCTCATTCTCTAAGACAGTATTGATTTAAAGCTTAGCTGGTATGGATGAAAAAGCAGATTTTTTATTGTCATCTTAAACACTAAGTTCAGCTGGCAAATCAAAAAGAAACAATTTTTAAAACAGTTTTGGGAAACTCAAAGATTACTTATATACATGTTTTTCTCAGTTTCATAGCCTTTCACATATATTACCCATGACTTTACATTAATATTGCATTCCATTTTCCATTGACAGGAGTGAGGCTCCTAGTAGTACAAGGATACCTTATATTATCACACTTTGCTTTTTTGTACTTTGCAGATGTTGCATTAAAAAAAAAAAAAACAAATAGAAGGTTTGTTGCAACCCTGTGTTGAGCAAGTCTACTGGTGCCATTTCGTGTCTCACTTCGGCAGCCTGTGCTCACTTTGTGTCTCTGTGTCACATTTTGGTTTTTAACTTTTTCATTGTTATTATATCTATTATGGTGATCTGTGATTAGTGATCTTTGATGTTACTATTGTGATTGTTTTTGAGTGCCACAAACTATCTCCATATAAGACTGTAAACTTAATTGATATGTGTGTGTTCTGACTGCTCCTCTGACTGGCCTTTCTCAGTGTCTTTCCCTCTCCTTAGGCCTTCTACTTTTTGAGACACAACAATATTGAAATTAGTTCTGTTAATAACTCTATAATGGCTTCTAAATATTCAAGTGAAAGGAAATTTCATGTCTCTCGCTTTAAATCTGAAGCTAGGAATGATTGAGCTTAGTAAGGAAGGCATGTCTAAAGCTGAGATAGGCTTTAAGCAAGGCCGTTTTTGTCAGTTAGCCAAATTGTGAATGTAAGGGAAAAGTGCTTGAAGGAAATTAAAAGTGCTATTCCAGTGAGCAGATGAATGATAAGAAGCAAAACAGCCTTCTTGCTGATATAGAGAAAGTTTTAGTGGTCTGGATGGAAGATCAAATCAGCCATAACATTTCCTTAAGCCAAAGTCTAATCCACGGCGAGATCCTAGTTCTCTTCAATTCTATGAAGGCTGTTAGAGGTGAGGAAGCTGTGGAAGAAACGTTGGAAGCTAGCAGAGATTGATTCATGAGATTCAAGGAAGGAAGTTGTCTCTATAATGTAAAATTGCAAGGTGAAGCAGCAAATGCTGATGTAGAAGCTACAGCAAGTTCACCAGAAAATCTAGCAGTGATTATTGTTGAAGGTGGCTGCACTAAAAAGCCTCAAATTAGAAGAAGATGTCATCTAGAACTTTTATAGCTAGAGCAGTGAAATCAATGCCTGGCTTCAAATTTTCAAAGGACAGGCTAACTGCCTTGTCTGGGGTTAATGCAGCTGGTAACTTTAAGTGGAAGCTAATGTTCAACTACCATTCTGAGAATCCTAGGGTCTTAACAAATTATGCTAAATCTACCCTGTGCTCTAGGAATGGAACGACAAACCCTGGATGACAGCACATATGTTTATAGCATGGTATATTGAATATTTTAAACCCACTGTTGAAACCTACTGCTCAGAAAAAGCATTCTTTCAGATTATTACTGCGTGTTGACAATACACCTGGTCACCTGAGAGCTCTGATGGAAATGTACAGGAGATTAATGTTTTCATCCTGTTAACATAACATCCATTCTGCAGCCTATGGATCAACAAGTCTTATTATTTAAGAAATACACTTCACAAGCCTATAGTTACCATTGATAGTGATTCATCTGGTGGATCTAGGCAATGTAAATTGAAACCTGGAAAGGATTCACCACTCTAGGTACCATTAAGAACATTTGTGATTCATGAAAGGAGGTCAAAATATCAATATTAGCAGGAATTTGGAAGAAGTTGATTCCAACCTTCCTGGATGACTTTGAGGGGTTTAGGACTTCAGTGGAGGAAGTCACTGTAGATGGGGTGGAAATAGCAAGAGAACTAGAATTAGAAGTGGAACCTAAAGTTGTGGCTGAATTGCTTCCATTTCATGATAAAAATTGAATGGATGAGGAGTTGCTTCTTATGGATGAGCAAAGAAATTGGTTTCCTGAGATAGATTTTACTCCTTGTGAAGATGTTATGAGCACTGAAATGACAACGAAGGATTTAGATTATTACATAAACCTATTTGATAAAGCAGCAGCAGTGAGTGGACTCCTATTTTTCAAGAGAGTGGACTCTTAAAAAGAATTAAAAAGAATTTAAAGTGGACTCTTAAGAATTAAAAAGAATTTTAATTGTGAGTAAAATGCTGTCAATCAGCATTGTATGCTACAGATAAGTTTTTCATGAAAGGAAGAGTCAATAAATGTGGCAACTTCACCTTTATCTTATTGTAAGAAATTGCCACAGCCACCTGAACCTTCAGCAACCAACACGCTGACCAGTCAGCAGTGTTCAAAATGGAGGCAAGGCTCTCCACCAGCAAAAAGATTATGACTGGCCAAAGGCTCATAATCATTATGATTATGGCTAATGATCATTAGCATTTTTAGTAATAAGATATTTTAAAATTAAGGTTATATACATTGTGCTTTTAGATGCAATGCTATTGCACATTTAATATACTACTATATAGGGTAAACATAACTTTTATATGCACAGGAAACAAAAAAAATTTGTGTGACTTGCTTTATTGCAATATTTGCTTAATTGTGATGGTCTAGAGCTAAATTTACAATATCTCTGAGATATGCCTGTGTATTTTTATTCTTTGAAGTTACCTTCTTTACCATGAAGCAAGAGTTTATGGTCTGACTTTGGTATATATTATATCAGCTAATGATGGACAATTACTTAATTATTGTAACCAGTTATGAATTATTTTATATTTTGATAGTTTTGTCTTATCAATAGGTCAATAAAGAGTATTTAAGTTTCCAGTCCAAGGAAGTTGTAACTTTCGTTTAGTGGTAGTAGACATGATGCTGTATGGTTGAGATTTCCTCCCAGTTAGCTTTGAGGTAGATACAGTGACTCATATGTAGGAGGAACGTGTTAATGTTTGTTAAATTTCATTAAACTGAAATTCTACCTGATTACTTAATTTCTTACTTTTGCTAGAACTTCCAAAGTCAGTATGTAGAAACTGCAAATATATGATTATGTCATGAAATTAGTGCCCTTATGGATGCTTTATTGTGTTAAAGGTAATGAACCCATTCTGCTATGCAGAGATATAGTATCATGGCCAAATGATACCCAGAAGTTTGTCTCCATAACTTGGAGACTGCTTCGTGTTAAAGGTACAGTCAGCTCTCTTTCGTTCATCAGTTTTAATTATCTATCTGAAGTTATGTTAAATTATTGAAAGATACAGGTCTTTGACTCTCTCTTGTATTGCAGCACTTATGCAACAAAGCATTTGGTCACATTCTCTTAAAGTGATTTTTTTTCATCCAAAAGAAAGCGTTCTCCCAAGCATTTGAAACTTAAACCACTTTTTTTTTCCTGGTACTTTCTCATGTTTATTGAGTGTGGGAACAAACTAGTTTTGTGATAAATGAAGTGATGTTTCTGTGTGTGTGTGTGTGTGTGTGTGTGTGTGTGTGTGTGTACTTATGCTAGGTATATTGGAAGTCAGAAGTCCCAATGGGAGGTAACCTTTATTTTTTTAGTAGAGATGGGGGTTTTGCTATGTTTCCCATGATAGATTTGAACTCCTGGGCTCAAGGGATCCTTTCACCTCAAACTCCTGAGTAGCTGGAACTATAGGCCTGTGCCCCCATGCCTAGTTTAGGTAACTTTTGATTCCCAACTTTCTTTCCTACAACTGGGACAGTGGTCTTTAACCAGCAACATTGTCATCAAAGTAAGAACTGCATAGGGTGTGAGAAGTCACACTCAGAAATGTTAGCCACTAAGTTTGACCAATAGTTGAGGTTTCTGAAAGGAGCAAAGAGAAAGAGAAAGGTCAAATTGTGCCAGAGGGGAATGGAGTCAGATGGGACCATGCTTATAACGTGGGCTGAGTAAATGCTTTGACAAATGTCTTTACTTGAATCATTCTGCCAGAAGTTGTACATTTTTGAATTTATTTATTTTAAAAATTTTGATGGTCTTTGGTTCCTTTGGAGAATCTTTTAATTAATGGGCACCTGACACCTTAACACACTTAGCAGTGATGGTTGGACACAAAGCTCTCTGAGTCTAAAGATTCCTGAGAAGAATCAAGGGAGGACTGTTCTGGGTTGTTGTTGGTGATGATTGGCATTAAAAGTAAGCTTTGTCTACTTGGCTATTTTGCTAACCCCAGACCTAAGAAAGTCCAGGGAGATTCTTCATGGTGGCACCTTCAGCATGATAGATTTACCAATAAGGAGAAATGATCTCTGACAAACAAATTATCATAGAAGTCGGTGTACGAGGCTGGAAGTAGTTGTGAGTGCTGGAATTAGTCACCACTGCTTTATAAAAGGCTCCAAGTATTCACATACTCAGGCAACTATGACACTCCCTTCCTTACTAAGAAACTGCCTTCACTACCTTCACTATTTCTTTTGCCCAAACCCTTTTCCTCAGCCTAAATAAGGGGATGACTGGAAGGGAGAAAGTAGACTTGGAGGTAGAGGAGGTCACTGTGGTTCCTGAAGAAAGCCTAGTCCTTCCACTTATCTCATTGTAGGGGGAAGAGATAATGACTCTTTCTGAGGTTGAGAGAGTGAGGACTCAAGTGATAATTCTTTTTCATTTGTTTTGAGATGGCGTCTCACTATGTTGCCCAGGTTGAACTTGAACTCCTGGCTTCAAGCAATCCTCCTGAGTCAGCCATCCATGTAGCTGGGACTACAGCACATGCTACTACACCTGGCCAAGAGATAACTCTTGATTGTAAGATTGGGCAGATAATGGTGGTGGTATTTAACTGTCTCCTTCTCCATCAAGTCTCCCCATAAGTTTGGACTGGTACCTATCTGTCCCTCCTTGAAACACAATGAGTTACTAGACCATCAGATCCCCCTGATGCTGTCTTGTTTGTGGAGAAAGAGGACACTGTAGGAGACATCTAGTCCTCTTGTTGCTGCCCTACTTAAAGAGGCTTCTTGGGTAAAGGGACCCTTGTAACAAAAGGCTGGGACAGGGACTGGTGAGGGGTGGAAGGGAAAGGTCAATGTTCATGCCAAATCTCCCACACCAGGATAATGAATGTGTAGGGAAGAAGGGCACTATGGGGAATAAGCAACGTCATAGAGAGTCAGCCTTTGGATGCCTGACTCACAGAGAGAAGCAGTGGTCAAGTTCAGTATTAATTTGAGGATTAGAGAAAGCCAACCCATGGGGACTGCAATATCCCTATGGGGCCATTTTATGGAGAGACTGTGTCTTCATTTATTCATCCTCCAACTCAAGCCTAGAAAGGAAGTGTAGGGGGAAAGAGAAAGGGAGAAGTGGGTAAAATAGACATGCCCCAAGCCCTAGCCACTAAATACACCATTCTAGCTTGCTGTGGGGGCTGTAAAACAGAGAAGACCTTGAACCAAACATGAAATTGAAGTTTTAAAATGGAAAAGACTGAATAAGGACTCAAAATAACCCTTCTGATAATGGAATGAGAATGAAACACTATGGAATCTGAGTAAGCTATCAGTAATAACTGGAGTACACAGACACAAAGAGGATCTGAGAATGGACAGTTAGGGAAAAAAATAACACATGTTTATACCCCAACTTGGGACTGCTTAATTATTTCAGTTACATTAATACAGAATTGGAGAGCTGAATGGGAGCTTAGAAACCATTTTCCAATTCTCCCCTTTCATTTTACTAAGCTGGCAGTCTACTACCATTCCCATTCTTTCAGAGAATCATTAAAATGAGATTATTTGTGATAATTAGACAATTTAATTAGAATTGTTTATGATACCAGGGATAGGTAGGGGAGGTTTCTTTCAACCATTCATGTTATAGAATAATAACGAGCACAACATTGTCAAAATCTTACAGTATCTTCAATTCTTATAACAGCCTGGGAAGAGCTATCGTTATTATTTCTACCTTACAGATGAGAAAGCCAAGGCTCACTAGTGTGTGTGTGCGTGTGTGTGTACTAGGGTTAGGGGGAGGCATATTTTTATCTTCATTTTCTTTTGTTTTCCAAACCTGCAAACTGAAAAAACAAACAATGATTTCAGAATATATTGATCTGGCTGGAATGGAGCTGAGTGGAAAAACAAAGTTAAGGTGGTTCAACCCAGCATTATTCTCCAATAAAAGCAACCACCGTTTATTGAGTTAGGTGCATATATGTTATTTCATTTAAGTTGGAAGTAGGAAGGATCTAAGAAAAAGCAACGGATTTGAAGTAATTGTTTTGGCACAACTTCTAGGGCTGGGGTTTGGGCTTCTTACTCTTCAAAAGTTACATGTTGGAAACCCCATGTATTAGTTTCCTGCTGCTGCTGTAACAAGTTGCTTAAACTTAGTGGCTTAAAACAGTACAGATGGGGGGAAATGGGGGAGGGACAGTGGGGGGTAAGGAGTTGGGGAGAGATAGCATGGGGAGAAATGCCAGATATAGGTGAAGGGGAGGAAGGCAGCAAATCACACTGCCACGTGTGTACCTATGCAACAATCTTGCATGTTCTTCACATATACCCCAAAACCTAAAATGCAATAAAAAAAGCACGGATTTATTATCTTATTGTTCTTGAGTCGTTTATTGTGTTCCTATGTACATTGTCAGTGTTATGGGGTATGCTTGCTAGCCTGTATGGCAGTGTAAGATATTAAAGTAAGAACAAAGCCCAGTTTCCTTGGCACTCCTTATATCAAAATGTAATTTCCATATAAGCTGAAATCATAGGGAATCAGTTGCAGTCTTGTTTCATGGATAATAAGACCAGCTTACAGAATGTTTTTCATTGCGTAAAGCCTATTAAAAACCAGAAGAGAAAAACAGTACTTTCTGCTGACACTGGGATCAACTGAGAATGTAGCGGGCTTAGTGGCATTAAATAAGATAAAAAAGGTGAAATCAAAATTTAAAAATCCCTAGATGTAGATATTAAATGTTTATTTATATGAAATGAAAATTCTGAAGTGGATAGTTTTGCTGTTCTGAACTTCTTCAAGAAAAATCTGGAGAAAGCCAAACTCTGATTGAAGTTCTTTATCTACTGTGCCTAATACCTTACTATCTTTTAAAGAATTTGCTTTTTTACAAGCTACAAAAACATTGCTCGGAGGCTTTGTATGGACATTAAAGATTAACTGTGTTTATCTGATTATGTTTTAAATCTTTCTATGTTCTTATTAATGTTTTCAATTTTGATTTTAGGTCTTGCAGTCGAAAATGGCATAAGCGTTTTAAAGATGGAGTAGATGATTAAGGTATATTATTTGTCTTATTCCTATAAGGATCATGGTGCTATAACCCACAAGTACTGTCTTAGTAGTTTTCTTCAAGTACTGTTTTTTTCC